TATATTAATTGTATTTTAATATTGTTTCCTGTTATAACCATTAAATTAATAATATATTTTAAAAGTTGATAACTTTTGTATTTCTTATCGGTTTTACATTTAAAATATATCAAATGAGTCATCTTTTGAACTTCGATTTGACATCCATATTGTATATATAAAATAAATAAATTATATTTATCTTTATAATAATAAAAAAATTATTTATTAAAATTAATTAGAAAATAAAATTATTATCAATTAATATATGTATGTTTAATGTAGTTATATGTTATAAGGTAGAAAATTTATTATAATATAACACATATAAGTTGCACAAGTAACATGTGTCATACTAAAATATACAATAATATATACTCCCTCTTATTTTTATTATTTGTCACTTTGGCTTAATTGATCATTGATAAAATAAATGTTGTTTTAGATATTTTGTTCATATTTTTCCATTTTTAACCTTCCATCTAATGCACAGTGTCTTTTCATACCCCATCTCCATCGTTTCACATAACATTCATTAAATAGGGTTAATATTGTCAAGAAAAAAATCTTAATTAGTGTGCTGCATTTGAATTGATATTATGGAGTCCGTTTGTATTTTACTATTTAATTATATATATATAACAAAAAATAGTAATATATATCCATATAAATAAAATTTAAATTTATTTATCAAGCTAAATTAAATTATACCAAATAAACTATAAATTATAGTATAAAATAGTAGAAATTAGTATGTATTCTTTTAAAATGATATTTATTTCAAATCTAATTGGTATATTGTCAATGTAATAAAAATAATTATTTATATAAATTCTAAAATTACATATAAAGTTAAAAAATTGTGAAGCACGACTGATACGACTCTTGATGTATTAGACATCTAATTAAGTAAAAAATTAATTTATTTTGTTTAATATTAAATAAATTTATTCTACACTTATACATATACATATCACCATATGATTTATATTTATTTAAGGTATATATTTTTGAACTTATATAATAATAAATAATACCAATATTTGTATATGATAGAAGTAAAAATTCAACACGGGTTGACATTTTCATTTAATTAAGTAAAAAGATAATCTATTTTGCTTAATATTAAGTAAATATATTCTACACTTATGCATATACATATCACCATATTATTTCTATTTATGTAAGATATATATTTTTGTACTTATGTAATAGTAAATAATATCGATGTTTTTATATGATATAAGTAAAAAAATTCAATACGGGTTGACATTTTCATTTAATGTACGGGTGTTTAATTATTATGATTAAAAAAATATAATTTGATAATTTAATTAAAACCCAAAGTAATGTTTTATATAAAATTAAATTACTTTAGTTTTTTTATAAAAAATTAAATATTTTTTACAAAAGATTTCTAATTCAAGACTCGTGTAATACACGGGTATTGTACTAGTGATATATTATTTAAATATATCAAATGAATACTTAAGTTAATAGGTATGAAAAATCGGTCAAGTTATTATATTAATGGGAAAAGATAAATGTTTTCTAAAATAAATGTATATATGTATAAAGCTCCATTAAGTAAACTATCTGTATAAAATAAACTATAAGTATATCATAGTACTTAAATCCATCTAATAAATAAATAAGCCGAAAGACATATAAGTTCGACAAAATTAAGCATATAAAAAATACGCTAATAAATATATAATATACACACTTTTTTCGACCAATCAAATCTCCCCAAACTTAAACCGTTGCTTGTCCCCAAGCAACTTATAACTAAAAGCACATAGATGGATCAAAAGATAAGTACGTGGAACTTTACTCAGGGCCTCACAATTCTCACATAAGTGCATAGCTCAAACAACTCGAAATAATATATTCGGACTCAAGATGAAATCATTCTAAGAACTCCAACATATCAAGTATCAATTCAAGTGACCACCATAGTTTGTCAATCTCTATAACGAATGCACCAATCAATGCAACTCATGACACCCCTCTCTTTGCTAACAAGTCAAGTTCCCTACCGTTTCTAGCCGAAGTCTAAATGTCTCATTCTCCACACTCTTTCTTTTTCCTCTCTTTTTTTTTCTTTTCTTTTTTTTTTTTAGTTAAGAACGGCAGCTCCGTCACAACCCGTGGGTTTTAGCCTTTTGTGCTCGTCTAGATACGAAAATTATTGGAATTATACACTAGAGCCCCCACAGATTGGCAGCTGTTGCAGCCCATAACTTTTTTTTTTCATTTATTTTTTTTGTGCCAAACGGCTTTTCAACTCCACCAATTATTCCTCCATCCTCATTATTATTATTTTTTTCGATTAAGAGACATAGAAACCTCAACTTTCAACTTCAAGTCCCCAAACTTAATCAACATTGATTAAAGCAATCACAAGCACATATTAAAAATACAAATCGCCTCAAAACCAACTCACCACAAATAAGTCACAAAAATATCAACCATCATGCCTTTGTCCCCAAAATAAAAACACCTTGATAATTTAACCAAATAAAATTAACTCAAGCCACTTAAACTAGCACAATAAATCCAAACCGACTCTCATATCATCATTGCAAAATTCCACGTACAAGCAATCTCACGCTCACACACAAGCAAATGTCATGCAATCAATCTAAGACTCAAACTCTAAGGGGCATAAATATAATGACATAATAAATCATGAATGCTCTTCAAGAAACCACCTCCCTAAACTTAGAGTTTGTATATATCATAGACACTCAAGTAAACAAAAGCAAATGTAAAAGAAACGAGTTCACCTTAGTAAATGCAGAGGAAGGTCGCCGAACCATGCACACCATTGGGTTGCCTCCCAACAAGCGCCTCTTTTTATTGTCGTTGGCCCGACTTATTGCTTCCTTTTCATCAAAGGATCCATGGTGGCTTCCGAGGTGGCCTCAAGGGAGCCACAAATCTCACCAGGCCATGCTTGACGACATCTCTTCTTTCCGGTGTTGGGGGCTTCACCAGATCTTTTCTCAATGACGCTAATTCCTCAAGGATATCTAGCAACTCACGCTCAATCACGGTCACCGTCTCATGAAACTCCCACTTACACCTTTTGTTTTGCTTGATTGTCTCAAGAGAAGGTATATCAAGGCCCAAGACGTGCTTCACTGCATCCTTGCTCAGTACCCACTTCATATTAGAATACATAGGACACGGTTCAGCTTTTATCGGTACAAGAGCGGGAAGAACGGTACACCTTTTGGCTACAGCAGGTCGAGTATGGGGTACCTCCGTATTCTGCTGCTCAGCCCCATATTCTGCAGCTTGGTTCTCTTTTTTCGCTCTCATTCTTCTCGATATTTGTGATTTTCTCGTTCTCCAGCTCGTATGTGCACTCTTCAAGTTCCTCGAGGTCCTCTCTGTACGAATGGATGACGCTCGAACTCATTGGACTCGTTTCCAGCCGATACACTAGTCGGTCCTTTTGTTCCGCCAATTTGCTCATTTGGCCTTCTAAATTCTTTATGCTTAGTTCTTGGCTCTTGAGGCTCATCTCAACACCTTGCTGAAAGTTAAGGGTGTTCAACGTCAATTCCTTCATCATATCCTCAAGAGACGGACCAGGTTCATTCTCAACAATTGGCTCGGAGTGTTCTTGCAGAAATCTCAACGTGTGAGCCTCTAGTGCCTTCACCATATCCTCGAGCGATAGGCTGGGAAACCTCTCAAATAATGGCTCGGAGTACTCATGGAAAGAATTCGAGTGCTCTCTCAAGCGGTATTCATACTCATCGGGATAGAAGTAATCTTGTTCGTCTTTTTGCCAACCACTATGTCCTCTTACACCTCGATCTCCAATCCACGGACCTCGTATCTCCCTCTCATACTGTTATGGTGTCTGGTGGGTATAAAAGTCGTGATAATAGGCTGCCATCTCGAAAAGTTGCGCTAAGCTCGATCAAAAACGCCAAAACTCAAGTTACTCCCAAGAGTATGGGGGCGAACTAATCTGTACAGCAGAGTACGGGGTCTCCCAGTATTCTGCAAGAAAACAAAAAACAAAGAAAAAGAGGGGTAAAAGATGATAAAGATAAAATCCTAAGAAAAATAAAAATAAAACTCAATTAGTACTCAAAAATCACAACTCAATAACGTCACTCCCCGGCAACGGCGCCAAAATTTGACCGCGCGTCGCAACGCGGAAAAATTATAATTTATATTTTCCTTAACCGACTTCTACCAACTAGTAGTAATAGTGAGCAAGGGTCGATCCCACAGGGAGCGTGAATCAAATTGTGAATTTTCTCGTATTAATTGAATTATAAAAGCAATAAAAGAGGGGGGATTTTGAATTAATAACTAAACTAACTAAAATCCTAATGAAGCAAATAAAATCTAAACAATGAAAACAAAAATAAAAATAAAAAATGAAGAGAACTTTCTAGTTCACGATTCCGTCTACACCCTCGACTGACTCGTCTAATCAACTTTGGTATCAAATCTCGTTATCTCATGAAATTACTAGCCCTAGGCAATGACACGGTCTGTTACCCGAATTTTTTCTTATTTTTTAATTAACCGCGAGACGCTCTACGATTAAACCTGACTTCTTGTAAAATCCAGAAAAACGTTTTCAAGATTTAATACAATCAGCCGCTTTACGAATTAGAAAAATAGGCTAGACTAAGTAGTGCACTCAACCGCGTTCGTTCACTTAATTAGGCCGTGTTATCCCCGGTAGTTACCATCTTCCGGTTACCTCTTATGAATTAAACACAACAACAATTACGGATTGCATGTCTAATTTAGATGTAGATATGAAAAGCCTAATCTAGGTGATCAATCTAAACAAGACTCCAGGTTAATTATTCAAAATAATACAAACAATTCCAAATAGATAACTCAATAATCAACCACGAAAATCAATCAAACATAGTCAAGTCGTAGGGTTCAACTTTCCCGGAACTAGAAATAAAAACTACTTTAACATAATAAATAAAAAAATAAATAAATAAAAGAGAGAGATTAATTATCTCCCTCATATGCAGGTGCGGTCTCCCTCCGCAATTGATCGGGTTCCTCGTCTTTTTCTTCTGTCTGCTCACGTCCTTTTGCCTTCTGTCTGCGGCGGCTCCAAAGCTTGCGTATGTGAATATTTTCAAGGGCCTGTGTATATTCGCAAATAAATACTCCTCATCCAATAAATTTTAGCCCCCAAGACAATTAATTCTCCTCGGCCAAAATAATTGGTTGCGCTCTGATGACACAACTTTTTCCCAATCAAATCCATGTCCTGTACGTAAGTTTGTATATTCCACCAAGCCCAATAACTTTTTCTTTTATTTTTCTTTAAGAAAACATGGTTAACGTGGGCCTAATTTGTGTATTCTTGGACTAGTGTGATACTTAATCACGTAAACCTCCATGAAATGCTTTGCGTCCTCAAATTTCTCCACTATCCTGAAAATAAAGCATAAATATATCATAATACTTAAATCCATCTAATAAATAAATAAGCCGAAAGACATATAAGTTCGACAAAATTAAGCATATAAAAATACTAATAAATATATAATATACACACTTTTTTCGACCAATCAAATCTCACCAAACTTAAACCGTTGCTTGTCCCCAAGCAACTTATAACTAAAAGCACATAGATGGATCAAAAGATAAGTACGTGGAACTTTACTCAGGGACTCACAATTTTCACATAAGTGCATAGCTCAAACAACTCGAAATAATATATTCGGACTCAAGATGAAATCATTCTAAGAACTCCAACATATCAAGTATCAATTCAAGTGACCACCATAGTTTGTCAATCTCTATAACGAATGCACCAATCAATGCAACTCATGACACCCCTCTCTTTGCTAACAAGTCAAGTTCCCTACCGTTTCTAGCCGAAGTCTAAATGTCTCATTCTCCACACTCTTTTGTGTATTCTTGGACTAGTGTGATACTTAATCACGTAAACCTCCATGAAATGCTTTGCGTCCTCAAACTTCTCCACTATCCTGAAAATAAACCATAAATATATCATAGTACTTAAATTCATCTAATAAATAAATAAGCCGAAAGACATATAAGTGCGACAAAATTAAGCATATAAAAATACGCTAATAAATATATAATATACACACTTTTTTCGACCAATCAATATCCATTAAAAATATTCATTTTGTGAGAAACTTAATATGTAGATTTTATTTATTAAATAAAATGAGTAAATAAATAATTTATACTGAAGTATCAGAATATAAAATTAGGAATGTATTCACTGAAATAATATAAATAAAATGTATGAGTTAATGTACATTAATTAATGAACCATATATATATATAATACTAAAAGAAATAAATTTAAATACAAAAGATATAAGAAATTTAAATTATTTTATTATAGAAAAATTATAATGTGGAATAAAGTTTCTAAAATAAAAAATTAATTGTCAAATAGTTATTTAATGCATGCAGAACTTTAATTAAAAACAAATAATTACTTTTATCTAGACAAATTTAGTTATTTAAATAAAAATATTATATTTAAAAACAGAGGCATTCAAAATATATTATACCTCATAAAAAATAATATATATTAAATAATTAAATATGTAGCTTCTCAAAGTACTGAAAAAATCAAAAGGATAAAAAACAAAAGAAAAATAATGATAATAAACAGATAAAAAAAACTAAAATTATAATTTACTTTTGCATATTTTCACCATCCAACATTCGAGCAGTTTTTTACATACTATCAACTGATTTATTTATGAGTTTTAGTAAATATAATTATTATTATTATTGTTGTTGTTGTTGTTGTTGTTGTTATTATATCATGAATTGATATGAATAATAAACTTATTTAATCTTAAAAGTAGTTAAAAATCAGAATACAAACATAGGAGCATTAAGTTTAAAAATTCAGATTATATAATAACACAAATAATAAAAATTAGATATGTACCATATTTTGGTCGATATTATTCAGTTTAAATTATATTTTGTAGTATAAATCGATATTTTGGCAAAAATAATATTTAAATGATAATCGTATCAATCTGGCCACCATATTACCTAAGGTGATTCCACAATTAGGAATACAAGCATTTTATGTATGTAATAATTAATTGTTTTCTTGGATCAAATAGGTGCACATATCTTTGAGTGGGCCGAACCACATGGGAATCTCGTGGATCACTTCATATCCAACTCCGCCAGTTGTGTACTTCGGCTCAAGCCCAGGCCCAGGGTCCAAAAGATTCTCAGCCAATGGATCGACCAATCAATACGGCTATTTGACTTATCAATCTGGACAAACGCACGACGTCGTTATCGGCCCATTGGACCCAAACACAGTGTATTATTACCGCTGTGGCTCTTCCTCTCCCGAGCTCTCCTTCAAAACTCCTCCATCACAATTTCCCATCAAGTTTGCAATCATAGGTAAAAACTTTAGCTTACTAATTTATGCTATCTAGAGATGCAAATGAGTCCATCGTTCCGCAAGCTTTACTCGAATCAACGCTCGACTCAAGCTTAACCAAACTCGAGTTGAGCTCTAGCATTTTGAATTCGCACTCGAGCGAACAAGTTCGTAGTTTGTATGCTCGAGTGCTCGACGAGCAGCTCGAATATATGTAAATTTACTACAACACCCCCTATTAGGCATTTTTAAAAGACATTTTCGAGTTGAACTCGAGCAAAATTCGAGCAGATCTTGAGCGTTTGTGTTTCGTTGTCGAGCAGAGCCTCGAGCAAGACAGGCTCGTCCAGCTCGAGCATGTGTCAAGTAAATCGAGCATTGCATTTTCGACTCGGCTGAACTCGTTTGCAGCCTTGTAGTATCCCAATTCAATATATATATATATATATATATATATATATATATATAAGAACATATAAGAACAATATCAATTAATTTATTTTGTGGGAAATTATATCTCTTGATGCATGACATGCGTACAAATATGATGCTATTATAGACACATAATGCATTCAATGCAACGAAACACGAAACAAAATACATTCATGAAATGCAGGTGACCCCGGTCAAACCGAGTACACAAAGTGAACCCTCGACCACATGTCGAAAGTGGGATACGACGTCCTTCTACTAGCGGGCGACCTAGCGTACGCGGACTTGAAGCAACGGTTATGGGACGCCTTCGGACACCTCGTGCAGCCGCAGGCAAGCCGCCGCCCGTGGATGGTCACCCAAGGCAACCACGAAATCGAGAGAATCCCTTTCCTACACAAGGAGAAGTTCACATCGTACAACGCCCGGTGGGTCATGCCACACGCCGAAAGCAGGTCCCCATCCAACTTGTTCTACTCCTTTGAGGTTGGCGGGGCCCACATCGTCATGCTCGGTTCGTACGCCGATTTCGAGCCAAGGTCGGACCAGTACAGGTGGCCGGAGGCCGACCTGGATCAGGTTGACCGGGGGAAAACCCCGTGGCTCGTGGCCATAACGCACGCGCCGTGGTACAACACCAACAATGCACACCAAGGGGAGTACGAGTCGAGCATCATGAGGGAGTCGATGGAGGATTTGCTCTACAAGGCGAGCGTCGACGTGGTTTTCGCGGGTCATGTTCATGCGTACAAACGTTTTGTAAGCTATAATTTCGATTTTCGTTTCAATTACGTGTTTTTTATCATCATATGTATGTATAAAGTGTTGCTTAATTTTTGTATTTCTTTTTATGCTCGATTTGAAAAGTGTAGGAGCGCGTCTACAAGAACAAAGCCGATAAATGTGGGCCCGTGTATATAACAATTGGGGATGGGGGTAACCGCGAAGGCCTTGCTACGAGGTAAGTATTATTCGAGTTGTAGCCAAGTCGAGCGGCTTATGTTCGAGCTCATGCTCGTTGATTAAACAAACCAAATATTATATTAGATTTTTTAGGCAAAATTGGCTTGAAATTATTATATTTTTTTTTTGGACAGCTACATTGATCCACAACCAAATATTTCTGCGTTTAGAGAGCCGAGTTTCGGGCACGGGAAATTTAAGATAGCAAATGCGACTTACGCTTTGTGGACATGGCATAGAAACGACCACGATGTTGCCGTTGCATCTGACCAAATCTGGTTGACGAACCTCGCGATGCTTACCAATTGTTCTTTATATGCTCATCTAAACATTATTCAATAAAATTCCTTTTTAATTTCCTACACAATTACGCGTTCGTGCATGGCCAGCACTCTCATAGACTGTGGCCGAAACAGAGTTTACACTTAGGAACTCCCTTCATTAAAGTTTTGAATGAAGGTGAGTTCAACGGCTTCTTTGATTTGGAAAGAGCAATATTTTGACTTCTCGTTCGTTTCGGACTAGTGATGATGAAGATATAACATATAGCCCAATATAATAACGAATTTAAACATGAATCTTGACCTTGTTGAGAACCTATAATTATAAGATTGTGGTTCTCGTGGGGAATGAAAAGCATGGATATATGGTGAATGATCCGATTGAGTAATAATAATATAATCAACGAGTGATTTATTTGTAACAATATATTATCCTAGCATGGGAATAACACTGTGTGAGGCATATGTGAATATTGGGTGGGGTCGGATCATTATAGTTTATAACAATATATATCATAAATATTTTTTTAAGTTAATAATTTACATGGTTCTAGAGGTGATTGTTTACTTATATTTTTATTTTTTTAGCATTATTTTTAAAATCCACGAGGGATAAATATACTAATTTATATTTTAGATTATTTTATACTAAAAACATTTTTGATATGAATAAATTTATATTTTATCGTATGAATAAGAAATCACATTGATTTGTTATTAATGTTGATAATAAGATTCTATTGTAATATTGTGATAATAATCATAATAAAATTTTCGTAATTGATTTTCAATTTTTATTGTGTGATTATATTTGAAATTTTATCATGCATATTCAAATGATATTTTCTATAAAAAAAAAAAACTTAGTTTAATAGTCGCTTTTTTGAATACATATTGTAGAAAATCTCGGAATCTGATTTTGTTACTAATAGAATAAGAAATTGCAATTACTCATAATTAATATGAAGAATTTGATTTTTATTGTGATAATTATTGCAAAATAATTTTCAAAATTGATACTATTGTATTTATATAGTCATGTTATTAACCGAATTTCATGAATTGCAACAGGTAGGTATAATTTAATATTTATTTTTTTCAAAAATATTTATTGTATTTTTTATTATATTTTATTTATTAGTAAGTCAACCTATTTAATTATAAAGTCAAATTTACTAGTTTAGATTATTCTAACAAACTCTCAAAAAATTGCTAAATGAGATGAAAAAAATAATCATGATTGTAGAATAAATATCTTGAAGAAAAGTATTGCAATAGAATTATTTGTAAGTATGTTATTTTCATATATCATTTAATGTGAATTTATAATTAGCTTGTATTAATTGTAACTATTATATAATAAAGTATTAAAAAATATTATTACACTTAATTAACGTCAAAAGTTACGGTTTTTTCTACTGTTAAATGAAAAAAAGGGAGGAATTTTTTTTTTTATTGTATTAATATAGATATAGATATAGACAGAGAGACACTTCCTCCTTATATATAATTCTCGAATGTGCTGAGGCTAAGTGAATATAATTCTCGAATGTGCTGAGGCTAAGTGAGAGGCTCGCATGCTTCAGGATCTGATGTGGCAAAATTTCATGCTTCATTATTTGGCTTGGATATATTATAATTTATGTCCAATCCAAAAATAATTAGATAGGAATTATCCATAAATATATTGATTATTTATGTTCATTATAGATGTATTAGATGCATTTTATTATCATTTCCTATTATAATCATTGAATTGTAAATATATTTTCAAAGCTAATATTTTATATTTTTCATTGTTTTTACACATATAATATATCAAATTAATCATCTCTTGATCAGTTTCTTTGACATCCATATTGTATGTATAAAATAAATAAATTTATATTTATTTTTATAATAATAATAAAATTATTTATTAACATTAATTAGAAAAATAAATTATTCACTAATTAATATATTTATGTTTAAAGTAGTTATATTGTATAAGTTAAGAGAAATTATATATTATTATATAACACAGGTAAGTCGATCTATAAATTATATAATAATAATAATTTTATGTAAAAATTATTTAAATTTTAAAATATTTTTTTTATTAATTTTAAAATTTAAGAATAATTTTTTTATAAATACCCGTGTAATGTACACGGCTTGTAATGGTAATCACATACTACTACTAAATACTAATTGTAAGCTCACGTGTATTGTAGGGTTCAATGCACCATCATTTTAAATTTCATCATAAGCCTTGCAGAAGATGGTTATTATGTGAAATCATTATAATTTTACACAGTAAAAAAGTGAAGAGAGAAAGAGATTAATGTGATGAGGTAATCGGATGGGCTGACAGTATTAACTATTAACCCAAAAGGTTAAAATCCAAGCGCATTAAATTCTTGTCACATTATTATTCCTTCTGTAGCCCCTTATATATACTCAAATGTGACAATAATTCCCAATCGGATTTCGTTACACGTCTAACTCTGGTTATTTGCAATCATGAATTTTTACCCGTAATTATGAAAAGTAAAATTAATGAGAAAATTTCACCGTAATGTTTGAGTTGTTTATTATTGGATCAACCCACATCTTTACGAATATATGTGTATTTTAATTGTTCAATGGTACTTAAAAAAATTGTAATTGCAGTTCAGTCACCAATAAGACCGAACGAGCCGATAGAATGAATGGAGATTGAGCTGGATGAATTGTACTTAACCACGATTTAGGGATTAAAGTGAATCAATAATAAGTAATGTGATCATTTAGTAGAGTTATATTTTTTGTCCCTAACTTTGACCCGACCAATCTTTGGGTTATCCAACTGCAATATGACCAGATTAATTTCTATAAATAAAAAATGACTGGTCAATATGTTTGGTCCGATTGGGTCTTGTCTGTACTGACCGATCAATTTTTTATTTTTAGCAAAAAATGCAATATTTATGTTACGAAATATCACATATTTTATTTTATGTTATTTTTTAGGGTACGGTATTTTATTTTGAAAAATTAACAAATATCTATTTAAATCTTGATGGTGTTTAATCCTAGGTCTGGTGGATGATTATATTGGACATCCTGAGATAAAAATGAATATTTTATTATAATGCAAATGCAGATTATAGGCAAAAAAATTGGTGTAATTTATAGGCAAATGCAGATTATGATGAGTACTCAAGTGGGATGAGTAAATGTTGGATGGCTGTGGCCATGTAATCTATTGAATAAGTGGCGTACATTTATGAAGTGAAGACAAAAAGGAGAAA